CCCCCCCTTTCATGGAGCACGGTAGGCCCCTCCCCCCGCCCGGCCTCACCTGCCAGCGCCAGGATCTGGGCCTCGTGCAGCAGCAGGCGCCTGGAAGCGGCACCTCGACTGAGCGCGCCTTGGGCGCGGGGTCCGGAGCAATCCAACGCCGAGCGGAGGCAAGCCCAGATGGGCAGGTGCGCGGCGCGGTGCGAGCCCGGCCCCAGTGCGCTCCCAGCCTGTAGGCCCCCCACAGCAGGCAGGGGAGACCCGGGGTCGGGGAGTCCCATCCACACGGCAGCACAGCAGACACATGCCGCATGGCGGAATGACTCTGGGTGATGGGGTGTTTTAGCGCCCCCCCATAGGTTGGCACCCCAGGCAGCTGCCCGGCTAGCCTGCCCCTTAATCCGGCCCTGGTCATGGGCCACATGCAGCCCACGGGCCGTATGTTGTGCAGGCCTGGCCTACAGGAATAAGGATGAGAGCAGGATTTGAACCAACTGGCTAAGTGATTTCTTTTCTCCCCTCTTTCGATGGAAATTACCCCCAAACTTCAGTGTGGCTCATGACTGCTCTGAGTTTCTCACAATCGTCAATATTTCTAGCTCCTCCAATCAGGCCATTGGGGGCAAATCTCGGCTTTCTTCTTTTAAAACAAAGACGTTCTCATAGTTGCAGAGAAAGACTGGAAAATATGGCCTGAGAGCCCCCAAGAGGCCCGGAAACCAGAAACAAAAGGAGGGGTGGGTGCGGACAGGGTGATTTTTAAGTCACCCTTGTGACTTTGCGATGCCTGACGTATGAGGTTTGAATACGGGGGGTTAGCACCGTTGACACCTATCTTGCGATTTGCGTGGTTGGATTTTTTACCCACCTTTATGATGGCTGTGCCCATCATCCCATTTTCAGCGGTTAGATTGATTTTGTTCTTGTGTAAAATGTGGCGCTTGTGTGGGAAGTCCTGGACCATGATGTCCACCTCGGTTTCAGTGGTGAGGCCATGAGCTTCCACCACAATCTTCTCTTCGCTCTCCAACCGCAGGACACTTGGGGTGATCAGGGTGAATCTAGGACAGTTATTCATTGGCTACATTTTTAACTCTAGCTGAGGCACCTGCTTCCCCCAGCCTGCCACTTGCCCCTTCATCACTGATCAGCACCTCCCCCTCCTGCCCAACTCATAGACTTTAAGGTCTGAAGGGACCATTATGATCATCTAGTCTGACTCCCTGTACAATGCAGGCCACAGAATCTCACCCACCCTCTCCTAGAATAATCCTCTCACCAAATCTCAGATATTGAAACGAGGTGTACCGGTAGTTCGGAATAGGAAGCCTAGTCCGAACTACCTAGTTCGAGCCCCGTGTAGCTGCGCTGCACGGGGTTCGAACAAGCGGGGTTTTAAAAATGGCGGCTCCCCGCTTATGCAAATGAAGCCCGGGAAATTCAAATCCTGGGCTTCATTTGCAAGTGCGGTATGCCTACATTACCCTCCTAGTGCGAACTACCGGTACCCAGGGTGATTAAACACTGGAAGAAGTTGCCTAGGGAGGTTGTGGAATCTCAGACACTGGAGATATTTAAGAGTAGGTTAGACAGACATCTAGCAGGGATGATCTAGAATGGTGCTTGGTCCTGCCATGAGGGCAGGGGCCTGGACTTGATGATCTCTCGCAGTCCCTTCCAATTCTAGTCTCCTACAATTCTATATAGCAGTGAGACACGGCAACATTCCAAGAAAGAGATGCAAAAGTTGGATTCATTTAATCACGCATGTCTGAAAAGAATATTGAGAATAACATACAGAGGTAGGAATATGAATGAAGAAGTTAGAAAGATTACTAGACAAGACATCCGCTCATAAATAATCTACAAAAGAAGACATCAGTGTCTGGGGCATGTGCTAGGAATGGGGGGAAAAGTTCACTGACGTAAGCCAGTTCTGAAGGAATGATTCCCTCCCAGCTAGCTGGAAGAGGGGGGAGAGACTCTGGGGGTGCCTATGTAAGTACATTTTGAGCCTGCTTTTCAGCTCCTGCGGACCCCAAATACTGCCATTCATTGGAAACCAGAACAGGCAAGAAGAACAAGACGACAACTGTGAGTAAGGTGGAAGCGGACTGCTCCGATAACATCAAACATCTCAACAGGAAATGGGAAGATTAGGAGCGAAGGGCAGTTGACGGGCAAGGATGGCAAACAGAGGCAGCCCAATACGCAGCAAAACACAGGCGGGACAAACATAAGAACATAAGAATGGCCGTACTGGGACAGACCAAAGGTCCATCTAGCCCAGTATCCTGTCTGCCAACAGTGGCCAACACCAGGTGCCCCAGAGGGGGTGGACTGAAGATGATGATCAAGCGATTTGAATCGTGCCATGCGTCTCTAGCCTCTGACAAACAAAGGCCAGGGACACCATTCCTACCCCCTGGCTAATAGCCTTTTATGGACCTAATCTTCATGAATTTATCTAGCTTCTCTTTAAACTCTGTTATAGTACTAGCCTTCACAGCCTTCTCTGGCAAGGAGTTCCACAGGTTGACTACGCACTGTGTGAAGAAGAACTTTCGCTTATTAGTTTTAAACCTGCTACCCATTAATTTCATTGGGTGTCCTAGTCCTAATATTATGGGAACTAATGAAGAACTTTTCTTTATTCACCCTCTCCACACCACTCATGATTTTATAGACCTCTATCATATCCCCCCTTAGTCTCCTCTTTTCCAAACTGAAAAGTCCCAGTCGCTTTAGTCTCCCCTCATATGGGACCTGTTCCAAACCTCTGATCATTTTAGATGCCCTTTTGTGAACCCTTTCCAAGGCCAAAATATCTTCTTTGAGGTGAGGAGACCACATCTGTACACAGTATTCAAGATGTGGGCGTACCATAATTTTATACAGGGACAGTAAGATATTCTGTTTCTCAAAGGTCTCAGATAAGTTAGAGCAGAATTCTGCCCAATGGGAGTGTTGTCTTAGCCTAGCGGTTCCCAATAGGGATCCATTTTGACAATTCAGGAAGACTTGGTGACAAAAGGCAATTAAAAAATGGGGGAGGAGGGAGAGCAGAGACACCTGGAGAGACACTTGGCGACCCTTTTGAAATGTAATGGTGACCCATAGGTCGGAAAACCCTGTCTTAGCCTTAGTGTATAGAAATGTAACCCTAGTGTTCCACTTTTCAGGTTAAAAAGTTTCTACAGTCCTGAAACCATTTTAGAATGGACATGGGTGGCAAAGATCAGAGGAAATGAGAAAGAGAGTTTCAGAAACGGGCTCCCATGTCCTACAGAGTCTCCACAAGGGAAGAAAAATGAAGGGGAGGCTCCACTCTAAGCATCTAACAAACCCTAGGCTCGTATCCTCATCTGGTCATAATCACAGAAGGTACTTACAGCTGGCCGCAAGAAACAGCTGGGAGACAGAACCCGAACACCACCACTAGGTAGAGAGCAGATCCCTCCATGGTGAAGAGGGTTGCAGTGGCAGTTCCCACTGGGTTATTTATATTCAGAGTCCAATGTAAACAAAGACTTTCTGTAACCCACTGAGCAGTTATTTCATTTGGGGAAGAGCCAAGCCAGCTTTGCATTTTTAGTAGAATGAACTGGAAGGGATATTTGGTCTCTCTGTTGCTATTTGCTCTGTTATTTACTCTGTCTAGTGCCAGCCTAGAATGGGCAGAGCTTAAATCTAATGTTGGGGAAATGGATCAAAACACATCGTGTTCAGTTCTCCATAGGGAACCAAGAACCAGGACTGGTGTGGAAAAAGTGAATAAGGAAAAGTTATTTACCTGTTCCCACAATATAAGAACTAGGAGTATGTCTACACTACCCCGCTAGTTCGAACTAGCGGGGTAATGTAGGCATACCGCAATTGCAAATGAAGCCCGGGATTTGAATTTCCCAGGCTTCATTTGCATAAGCGGGGCGCCGCCATTTTTAAATCCCCTCTCGTTCGAACCCCGTGCCGCGCGGCTACACGCGGCACAAACTAGGTAGTTCGGACTAGGCTTCCTAGTTCGAACTGAGAGAAGGGCTGGTGTAGGGGGGCAAGTCTCAGGAGGGCTGAGGGCAGTGAGAAGGGCAGGAGTCAGGACAGCAGAGGAGCATGAGGAGTTGGGGGGCAGCAGGTACCAGGGGAGCTGATGGAGCAAGGGGAGGAGACATGGCAGCAGAAGGAAAAGGTAAAGGTTTATAAGATATTTATTAATAATTTGGGTGCCACAGTGGCACATCCAAACAAGCCACATGAACTTAGTACTAGTGCACAACACAAAATTCATTCTGCTCATGGCAGGAAACTCTTAGAGTATGTCTAGACTACATGCCTCTGGCGACAGAGGCATGTAGATTAGGCTACCTGGCATAGGAAAATGAAGTGGTGATTTAAATAATCGTCGCTTCATTTAAATTTAAATTGCTGCGGCACTGAGCCGATCAGCTGTTTGTCAGCTCAGCACGGTAGTCTGGATGCTCCATGGTCAACATCAAAGGCATTTGTCAACCTCCCCAGTATGCCTCGTGGGATGAGGTTTACCGAGGAGGTTGACAAATGCCTTTGATATCGACTGCAGAGCGTCCAGACTAGCGCGCTGAGCCGACAAACAGCTGATCGGCACAGTGCGGCAGCCATTTAAATTTAAATGAAGCAGCGATTATTTAAATCGCTGCTTCATTTCCCTATGCTGAATAGCCTAATCTACATGCCTCTGTCGCCAGAGGCATGTAGTCTAGACATACCCTAGGAGTCTCCAAATGAAATGAATAGGCAACAGGTTTAGAACAAACAAAAGGAAGATTTTTGTCACTCAGCGCACGGTCAACCTGGGGAACTCCTTGCCCGAGGATGTTGTGAAGACCAGGACTTTAACAGGGTTCAAAAAAGAGCTAGATAGATTCATGAAGGTTAGGTTCATCAGTGGCTATTAGCCAGGATGGGTAGGAATGGTGTCCCTAGCCTCTGTTTGTCTGGAAATGGATGACAGGAGAGGGATCACGTGAGGATTCCCTGTTGTGTTCTTTCTCTGTGGGGCACCTGGTATTGGCCACTGTCGGCAGACAGGACACTGGGCTAGATGGACCTTTGATCTGAGCCAGTATGGCCGTTCCTATGTTCTTACATTTAACCAGGCGGTTACACTGGCAAAGACACCCCAGGGCTTCTCACTCCTGCTAGGCCAGCTCCCTGGTCTCCCCTGGCACAGAGCTGAGATTCCTGCCCCCTCTGAGGACCAGAACAGACATTGAAACTCTTCAGGTCCAAAGAAAATGCAGTTTGGGGCCCAGCTTCCTGAGATATCACTCCCCAAATGGGATCAGAACCCCATATGAATTTTTCGGGTAAGCCCCCTTTAACAGTTAGGGTTGCCAGGGTTGTCAGTATTGGCTGAGGCAGTCTGGTATTTGCGGCTTCTGTCTGGTAAAAAAAAAACCCAAAATGAACAGAAGCTCAACCAAATTTTTCCTGCCATGTTTGGTATTTGTTGTAAAACTATCTGGCAACCATATTCACAATGAAAGGAGGAATGTGCACACTGATTTCCCCCTTCTACCCCACTCCGGCCCCAATTATTTACACTGGGCTTGATAGTAAATATGAGTGATTTTATTAAGTACAAGCTGTAGGATTTAAGTGGTTGCAAGTGAAGACAGGCTGAGCAGAGTAGATTACAAAGTAAAATTAACCAATTCTTACCCTAAAACCTCAGTACAAACTTACTACAAACTCACCCTAAAACTCTTCTTGATCCAGCCATGCCTTCAAAATCAGGGAAGTCTCTTTTTCTCTGGGGTCTTTAGGTATCCTCCAGGTGTGCCACACCAGCCAAAGACAGACACTCCTAAGCTTCCCATTGTTTGATAGAGACCACTTTTACATGGGAAGTTACCTGGCCAGTCCTTACCTGTTAGGGAGGTCACATGACTTCCTAGGACCAACCACTGTTCAGAGTTAAAGGACACAAGGGGCTGTTTACATAGCATTGGCCAGACACTGAGACATTCCCAGCATTGGAAACACCCTTGATGACTTTCCTTTGCACATTTAAAACCCATAGACCATTCCATACCCCCATACCATCCACACACAAGAATGATCCATTCACCAAAATCAGATATCCAGACCCAGCAGATTAAGACATTAAGATTGACAGGTTCCATGAGGCAATTTGTCCCAAGAATCTTTGAGTTATGCATATTCATGTCCATGAGTCCATTTCATATAGCATGGGATGGGGGGGAGGGGGCAGTCCATCACAAAGACTTCTCCCAAGATCTGCCTCTAATTCCTCCAGAATGGTTGCTCCTTCTTGGCAGACAGGTTTTGTCTGTTTGTTGAGTCAGAAGTTGGAGCCTCCCAAAATAGAGCTCTAGGGCAGATAAATCTTGAGCTAACAGGATTGTTCTGGAAACGGGGGGGGGGGGGGGGGGCAGAAGGAGGGAGGGGAGGGAGAAACCAGGTTTTAAAATTGATCTCATGGATTAGCTGAGCAAAAGCATTTTCATGTGAGCTTCTTTTCCCACCACGAGAACAGGATGCAAATCCAGCACATAAGAACACAAGAACTGTCATACAGGGTTGGACCAATGGTCCATCATAGAATCATAGAACACTAAAACCAGAAGAGATCTTGAGAGGTCATCAAGTCCAGTCTCCTGCCCTCCTGGCAGGACCAAGCATCGTCTAGATCATCACTGATTGATGTTTATCCAACCCGCTCTTAATTATCTCCTGTGATGGAGATTCCACAACCTCCCTAGGCAATTTATTTCAGTGTTTACCCCCTCCCTCCGACCATTAGGAAGTTTTTCCTAATATCCAATACCTCTCTTCCTGCAACTTAAGTCCATTGTTTCTTATCCTATCGTCAGAAGCCAAGCAGAACAATTTTTCTCCCTCATCCTTGTAACACCTTTTTAGATACTTGAAAACTATTATTATGTCCCCTTTGTCTTCTCTTTTCTAAACTAAACAAGCTCAGGGTATGTCTACACTACCCCGCTAGTTCGAACTAGTGGGGTAATGTATGCATACCGCACTTGCTAATGAAGCTAATGAAGTTTCACGAGGAGTAACGGTAGTTCGGAATAGGACCCTAGTCCGAACTACCTAGTTCGAGCCCCGTGTAGCCGCGCTACACGGGGTTCGAAGCAGCGGGGATTTAAAAATGGCGGCTCCCCGCTTATGCTAATGAAGCCCGGGAAATTCAAATCCCGGGCTTCATTAGCAAGTGCGGTATGCATACATTACCCCACTAGTTCGAACTAGCGGGGTCCCTCATAGGTCATGTTTTCTAGACCTTTAATCATTCTTGTTGCTCTTTTCTGGACCTTTTCCAATTTTTCCACATCTTTCTTGAAAAGTGGTGCCCAGAAGTGGATACAATACTCCAACTGAGCCTAATCAGTGCAGAGTAGAGCGGAAGAATGACAATACTCCTGTTAATGCATCCCAGAATCGTGTTTGATTTTTTTGCAACTGTGTCTAGTGCCTAGTGTCCTGTCTTTCAATAGTGGCCAATGCCAAATAATTGAGAGGAAGTGGATAAAGCAGGGCAATTTATTGAGTGATCATGCAGACCTGGCTTCTGGCAGTCAGAGATTTAGAGAAATCCAGAGAGTAGAGTTACATCCTTGATCATCCTGGCTACTAGCCATTCATGGATCTGTTCTCCATGAAATTATCTAGCTCTTTTTTTAAAACCTTGTTATAGTCTTGACCTTCACAACATCCTCTGGCAAGGAGTTCCACAGGTTGACTGTACATTGTGTGAAAAAATCTGACTTTATTTTTCTACTAGCTGGACTTGCTCAGGAAATTGGAGGAACAAAATTTAGAAAATTTAGGAAGGGAGGGGACCCTGAGCCAGGGGACCCCCAGAGCCACAGACCCTGGGGGCTGATGACTCCTGGCCCACACCTGGCCCTCTGAGAGCAGCAGGACCCTCCTCCCCCCAGGACTGAGCAGTCAGCCCCCAGGAGAACAGTACAATCATGTGGCCAGTAGCAAGGGGACTTCTCTTTGCAAGGTTGGCTCAGGGATCCACCTGCCCTGCCTTGGAGAGCAAAAGCTCAGAGCTCACATCTAACCCCGATGGCTGGAACCAGACCCCGAAGAGCCCCACTCACAGTACGAACAGCAGCCGGCTGGCTTCACAGCGGTGTAATGCATCAAGGGTTTAACTTGGCCCCTCCGCCCTGCGCTGCTGCAGGCACACGGATTCCTTCTGCTCCGATAAGCCCAGCAAGCTGAGCAGAAAGGCTGGCCGGCTTTGGGTTTGGTTTCTGGAGGGAGGAGGGTTGCAGGGGGGGAGCGACCCCGGGTGGAGGAGAGGTTACATGCAGGAAGGGCGCACCAGCTCGCACCTGGGGCTGCAGGTTCTGCAGGGGGGCAGGGCGGGAGCCCGAGCCATGCACATGGGTGATTTCCCATACTTCTCACATTTGTATATAGGCATCTAAGATCCTGATTTGACCTTGCCTCCCAGT